CAGCAGAATAAGGATATGTGTTAAATTGAATTTAAACAATCTCAGACTCTGGATTTTTTTTTCTCCCACTCCTGGGTCACAAAGAATATCCTTTTGTCTCCAGGTCTTTAACCACCACTAGTGTGTATATGAAACATTTTGCTAGAGGAAACCCAGTATCTGTCAGTGGTCAGGTTCTCTTACAGTGAACTGATCACGTAGATATATTTCAGGTATATGGCTAGCTTTGGTTATCAAATTTTACCACACTCTGCTGAAACCAGATATTATTAAATTGCATTATTTGCTATATTAGTATTACTAAGTTCATTTTTATATCCATTTATTATTAGCATATATAGTTGACAAGCTAGTGTGGCCTGACTCAAACAACTCACAGATCTATAAGTGCAAAACATTATTTGTCTTTAGTTAGTAGAGTTGATCTTCATTATTCCTGGTTTCTGTATTTGCAAACTTGTCATTCACTAAAATGTATTTGTAATCCTAAAATCAACACTTACAGCACGTTTACAGTCATTCCACAGACATGAGCAAAGCAGCAAAACTTTGAGTCACCCTATGAGCATCTTGCCAGCTGAAGTCAAACAAGGCATCTCTCTGCCTTCTTCTTTCAACTTTTTGGACACAGGATGGACACTGTGCAGTGGCAGAGGCTGTGCAGTGCAGTGCAAGATGCTTCATCTTTGGGGCCAATTTGGGGGCATTTTAATCCCAACTCTAGCACCTGTTAGTGAGGCGGCCTCAGGCACTTAATGCTTTAGAACCTCAGTTTTTCTTTCATAACATAAAACAGAATCTACTAGTTACAAGCATTATGGATTATAACCTATAATCTATGTGAGATTTATATATCTATATATGTGGGTATATCTATGTACATGTGTGTACACACACACACACATATATACACACACACATATACATGTGTATGTTTTTAAAAGCAAAAGGTCTGTGTTCCCTAATTTAGTGTTCATGATGACTTTATAGAACATAACTACTATGAATAACAAGGATCCACTGTATATTGTATAACGTTGGTTAAGGGTCACCATCAAGCCAGGGAGCTCTAACAGTAAGCATGCTGTCAATCTAGACCAACTGAGATTTAACCACACTTGCACTATGTAACAAATTTTCATATAGATTTTATGGGGAACATAAAGTTATTTTTTAAAACACACATGCAAACTCTTGCCCCAAGTAAGAAACTTAACAAGGAGGAGTTGAGTTCAACAAGAAAACAAATAAATGCAAACAATAAAACAAAGCAAGGTAGAAATAAAAAGGTTTTTTTTTTTTTTTTTTTTTTTTTAGAAAAAGATATGTAAAAGGTACATAAAGTTAGAAGTTTGATATTTCCTGCTAGGTCCCGCTCCCATATTCATCTTGTATTTATTGAACACATGTCACATTTCATCTAGTATTAGAGTAATTTTTTTAGATTACTTATTCCTTTACAATGGCATAAGCTACTTGGGAATAATGAGTAGACTGTGCATGTCTTTCAATTCTCCTTAACATTCAGTGCAGTAGCTTACACATTGTAAATATCTAATGTTTGCTGAGTGAATGAAAGATTGGATGAATGTGGCCACCCAAAATAATTATCTAACATCCCATATGGTTCTCCCTACTCCTTTTTCTGAGTTTCTCAGAAACAAACTAGTTGAGGGACCAGCTTTTGATGAATTAATGTAAGGGAGAAAATGTATTACCATTTATGATGCCTTTTTAAATATTATTTATTTTGATTTTATTCTTTTAGTGGGACTATACATGCTTTAAGTCAAAAAGAGGAATAATGAGGAAATTTATGAGCTAGTATCCCCATTAACTTCGAAGTCAGACGAAGCTAGTCGCATGTGGATTGATAGGCTAATCTACGGGTAATACATGATTTGGTCTACTGAGTAAGAGTTACTGGCCTTATTATTTTAGTGTATTCTGAAATATTTTAAACATACAAAAGAATACAGAGAATTCAAATACTAAGGTTTTGTCAAACTTGCTGTAGTTCATTGTTGGCCTTTTAGGGCCTTACCACAGGTTATCTGTCTTAGATGTCAATTAAATAATTGGCCCAATTAATTTATTAGTTGCTAGAATAAGCCTTACTCTTTTTCCTTTTTACTTAGAGATGACAGCTATCCTTTTACTATGTATTTATGTATTTGAGAATAATATATAATATTCTTTTACATAATTTAAGTTTTATTTAAATAGTATTTACTGTACCTAATTTTCTGTGACTTGTTTTGTCAAAAATTTTGAGATTTATATATGTTGATATTTTGGGTTTAGGCCCTTTATTTTCACTAATGTATATAATTTGAATTTGTGAATACATCATAATTAATTTATCAATATCTATTGCTGGACAATTAGGTTGTCATAGTTTGGGGGTTTTTTGGTTCCGAATAAATAACCAAATTATTACACAAATCATTGTTTTAACATGATTTTGTGTAATGACATAAGAGAAACCTATCACCACATTCAATATAGGGTAAAGCTAGTAAAATATGTATAAAAATATATAGCAAAATGAAATATTAACTTCCCATAAGAATAGGGTAGACCATTTTTTATTTCTCTGTCCTGTGAAATTGTCAGAATATTTACTGAGACTTCATCTTCTGAAGAAACATAAAATAGTTTTACAATTCAATTTTAAATACACTAGGATCAATTTCTTAAAAAGTGATAATTTTGAATTGAGAGACTCTATCATGTGTGGTGATCATAAGGATGACCTTTAAATCAGATAGCAGTGGGTGCCTGGATTTGCTAACAATTAGCTAAGAGACTCTGGCCAAGGTGAAATTCACCTCTTCAAGTCTGAGTTCCTCATGAGTAAGAACGTGATAACTGTGAATCTACTTCATAGGGTTGTTGTCAATGAGACATAAATGCATGAAAACTGAGGATTTTGTATACACTAAGGAAGCATCAATAAATAGGGGTAAAATTGTCAGCAAATTTGAGACTTTCTATTTAGGTATATATATATATTTTAAATTTTAGTACTTTAAATAAGCCATATTTTTTCATTTGACCTGGATGACTGCTGTTATTATAGTAGCAATTTCTGAAAATTTTGGGGGGTCAATACTATAGTTCTCCGTACATACAACATGTAAAAGGGGGTATTTTTGTAACCTCAGGAGCTAAACATCATTCAAATTTGAAAATCCATCATGGCATGCAGAATTCCAATCCTCTGCAATTTGCATTAAAGCAGCACATCAGTGGGAAACAGGAGCTTCTTTATCCTTAACACAGTTAGGGATTTCTAAGTACAAAAAAAGGAGTGTTATTTTATTAATAACAAAACAAGTATTTGATATCAGTTGTGCGAAGAAAAATTTTTGGAAATTGCTGTAGAGTAATTGAAAATTAGATTGAATAAAAAATAATGATGGAGACTTTTAAGACCTCACCACAGGTTCTCTAGGTTAGGTGTCCAAATAGTGCATTTTTAACACCAAAAGGAACTTGCAAAGATTCGTTCATGCTGTGGCCCACTATGATGCTGCACAAGAATAAGCATGATATACACTTCACAAAAAATGCGTTTGTGTAGCTGAATCTTCGATAAATGCCAGAGTTCTGGAACAGGAATTGGATTGGTCTAAGCCTGTCTTTTGTATGTTAATGTGCTTTCACAGCAAAGGTATGTGAATTAACCCAGACTAAAGTATTTTCAAAGACAAACATTTATCTCCTTATAGCCTTCTGTGATGGATTGTTCAGAGATAAAGACACACTAGGCCAGAACCAAATCTCCTCCTGCCCTATATAGTTTTTACAATCTCCTTTTAAACAACAGAAAGTCAGGGCAGTCTCACTGCCAGACCAACACTTCTTTAGGAATCTTCCCATAATATACAGGATAGAACCATCTCTACTACAAATCAGCACTTTATTTTCAAAGTAAACACTTCAAAAGGTTGCTTGAACAAGAAAAGACATTTTTTGAGCTGTACATTATTTGACAGTTAACGTCAGATTACTCCGAGGACTGCATTGCACCGAATGTTACATTTTATTCTGATGCATTTTAAGTTGAACTTTGTAAACAGTGATAGATGTTTGATTAGTGTTAATATGCAAGATGCCATGATTAGGCACGATTTTTTTTTTAATCACCACACTCTCTTTTTGTAATCTTCCTTTGATCTCTAACGGACAGTGAGAAAAAAATTGTAATTTAAAATATATTGACTTTGACTCATAAATTAATTTTTGCATTGCAAATTTATTGATATCTATAATATATAGCAAGATGGTAAAATAACTTGTCTGCAAAAAAAGATGTAAACTTCTATCTTTTTTACAAACTATATCCAATGCCATTTTCTCTTTTAAATTATTGAATCTTAATTTCAAATAGGAAACTTATAAGCAAAATTTTATGAAGATTTTTGAGATACAGCAAGGAAGTGAGGTAGTTTCATCTGAATAATCATAGCTGAACTCATATTAGTTTTCTTGTCCTGATATTATCTTCCTTTTTTTTGATAAGCATAGGGTTGGGAACCACCTTTTTGTGTGTTTTCCAATGCATACAGTCATTCTTACAGAGTTTGTATCTGTTCTGCTAGTTTACTGCCAGTTTCTTAAAATATTTTCTGCTATTGGGTTTTAAAATTGAAATAAATTAATCTTCTATAGCTTGAAGTGATTGAAGACTATTAATAAAGTATAAATTTCACACCTAACATTCAGTATTTTTAAATACTTTACTGTGACATGTTTCTAAAACTGTGTATTTTAACAAGGCCTGCTTCCACGTAAATGTATATGATGGCCGCAGACACATTTCTCCATAATCTTGTAATTGTCATCTCACTTCAACCCATGATTTTCCTACGGTAACATTTAACTTCCCTGATGCTAGTCATTATTAATGTATTTCTGTAGATTGTAAAACATCTAGTTATCACACTGTCTATGTTAGCTTGTTCCAACTCATGATTTATTTTCATTTTTTCTAGGATATAGACCCGCAGCTAACTGGATTTGATTTATAAGAGAGAAAACTACAGTCAATGCCCACTCTTGCCACATTGCTAATATGGAAAACAGAATGTTGAATAGGATATGGTCTGATAAAGAGTAATGATTGAAGATGCTGCTCCAATACATGTGAAATCAATGGGAGATACCTGCTGTCTGAAGATCTTTCAGAACTTTTCTCGACAAGCTCCCCTTTAAGAAATCGGAGGTATATTCTACCATTATACAGTATTTCTCAAGTGGATATAAATACGTTTGCCTCACTGTAACCAGACAACTAGACACCTAATGTGGGACCATGGCACTGCCCAGATGCATGTGGCAAAATTATGTTTGGAGAGCAGTGATGGCATGCGTGGTACACAGGGGACTGGGTGCCCCATTGACTCTCTGTATGTTGGGATGTTTGCTTCAGGCTGGTCATGTGCTATCACAAAAATTGGATGATGTGGACCCACTGGTGACTACCAACTTTGGAAAGATAAGAGGGATTAAGAAGGAACTCAATAATGAAATTTTGGGGCCTGTTATTCAATTTCTTGGGGTTCCATATGCAGCCCCACCAACAGGGGAACGTCGTTTTCAGCCTCCAGAACCACCATCTCCCTGGTCAGATATCAGAAATGCCACTCAATTTGCTCCTGTGTGTCCCCAGAATATCATTGATGGCAGACTGCCAGAAGTCATGCTTCCTGTGTGGTTTACTAATAACTTGGATGTGGTTTCATCATATGTACAAGACCAGAGTGAAGACTGCCTATATCTAAATATATATGTCCCAACTGAGGATGGTGAGTTTATTGCAGGAAAAACAAGGAGATATATTTTTATATTTTTTTCTATTCTAAGTTCTAACAATATTAATTCATGTGTACTGGTAGTATGCATGGCTTTTCCTGTTGGCATGTAGACATATTTTACATGCGTGCATGGTGCTCTTTTTGTTTATGTGTGTCAGTGTATCTGTACTTATTTTTTTCCTGTGCTTACTCATTTTCTTTCCTCCACAGCACGTATATTTAGGTAGAAATGGGTTTCTAATTTCCATTTCCTACCAAATGACTTCTGAGAAGATGCATCAACATTTCCTCATTGCATGTGCAGGCTCAACGAATTGGGGATCTTTCGCATTCAGTAAATGCAGGAGCGTATTGAGTTAGATAGTGGTGTTGCATGTTCCGGCGGTCTGTGATGGAGCGCCATGTTATTTTCTAGTCTTCTATTCATTTTTCAGTAAAAAGAATATCCAAGGAATGTGCCAGAAAGCCCGGCAAGAAAATATGTAGAAAAGGAGGTATGTATAAAAGTGGAAATTAAAAATGGGGGAAAAGGCTTGCAGAGGAAGAACAAGATATTCTCCTTAAGGATGATTTGCTGATGCTGGGAAGTAAATGATTAGGTGATATTTGAAATCTGATGAAGTCTGTCAAAATAGAAAGGTGGTTAAGGAGCGCTCTAGCTGAGTAGGTTACATTGGTTCATTGGTTGTGTCTTGTGTTCTGGTGCTGGTAGCATCGGTAAGAGTTGAATCTCTGCTTTGAGTTTGTGTGTAGTGGAATATTTATATAGGCTATTATGATACCTGCAAGGAGCCCAAACAATGCTGTCTTACTAACTGGTAACTTTGATCTTTGATCTCTGAACTCTTTTCTACAGATACATATTTGTGCTCCTCTTAAAATTTGATCACTCAATCACAAATCTAGTTTTTCGTTTATTCTCAGCATTCCTTCTGAACACTCTATGGACTTTCTCATCCTAAGAGTAAATTTTCCATAATCATTGAGCAATTATTGTTATCAAGGTAATAGTGTTTTTTTCTTAGTCTTTTCATTTTCAGTCACTTTTCCAGAGGAGAATGAGATTTTGCAGATTTGATACTAAATATTTACAGTCTTAAAATTACTTTAACATTTTTATATTTACGTTAAACAATTTAAAACATAGAGAAGTGCATGATTCAGAAGCTACAATTAAATCAACCTTCAAATCATCCTCTAGCCAGATTGAGCAAATGTAGACACTGACAGCTGCAAGCTTGCATCTGAATGTAGCTTGTCCACACTCCGCTTTTATATAACATTCAGTAAATCACTCATAGGAGAGTATGATTTTCTATGGCAGTAAATCATCTAAGTGTTATTTTGACCTTATTCATAACTTTGTAGAATTTCCAATCTTCATACAGAAGTCATTAATATTCTAATGCTGCACATTCTCTCTCTCTATGCACTTCTAATCTCCTGACTAGACTAAATCAGATTTCATTATAGCATCCTTGTGGGGCAGGGAATGTCTAAACTGTTCTGTTTTAATGGGATTGCATTTATGTGGAAGACACTTTATAAATAACAAAATTCGTAACTCAGTTCAGAAGTATTTGCATTACATTGAGGATTTTTTGTTTGTTTGTTTTGTCTTTGCTGTTATTTCTTGGGTAATACTGGTAGAGTGGGATTTAACCTTCATTCTTTATTGATATTATGAATTGGGTTAAAAGCACAGTATACTTAAGAAGATGGATGTGGAGGCAACAAGGGTGTTTTAAACAACTAAAAAAAGTCTTTTTTTCTGCAAATGAAAATAACTGCAGTAATTTACATACCTTCAACTAATGTACAATACTGCAGTAGTTATTATTATGCAGCTTATCAAGCATGTGTAATTAGCTAAGTGACTTTCGCCTTCTATTACAAAGATGTTGATTCACAAAGTCATAAATAAAGATGCTATTGAAGAATGCATAAATAGAGCATAATACATAAAAATATGTATGATGAAGAAAAAGATAAGAGCACCAAAAGGTAAGCTAGTGAGTCAGAAAGTGACCTTTCTTCTCAAACAACTTTAGAGGATAAAAGATTTATTAGAAAATTATTTTTCATTGTTCTCTGTATTTTTGGTTTCATTTGCTCTAGTAAGAGAGTTGGCAAAGAGACATGTAGGCAATGCTATTTACCTTCACAAACTCTGAACTAATTAATAATTAGAATGAGGACAACATCTATCAATGCCCACTTGAGCCTGTATGGTTTACAGTTTAAATATATTGTGCTTATTCATACTATTAACTATGCATTCTAAAAATCATTTTGGCTTGGAAATTTAATATATCCTATTATTATTATTAAATACATTGTGCTCATTTATTAGCTGTTTGTACATTATCCTAAAGTCTAAATAACAAAAAATTTTTGATGTAATTTTATTATATAAACAGTACTTTTAAAATAAACAAAAACTAAGGTTTAGAATTTAGCTGTTAAGTAGAGGAGTAGAAATCATTTTTCCAAACTTTTACCTGTTGTTTGTTTTTTATTATTTTTCTACCAAGAAGGGGATATTTTGGTTATTTCAAGATACCATATTTTTGGGAGTCAATAAATTATTAGTCACTTTATATCTGTTTATATATATACTAATATATACTGCATATGGACTGTGAGATTTTCAGTAGAATGCCAGGAGTATATAAATGATGGTTTAGGAACTGTGAGAATAGTTGCTTAGCCAGGACTTTATGAATGATGGTTCAGGAACTGTGAGAATAGCTGCTTTGCCTTTTATCTAGATGCCGTTCAAATCCTGTCTTGTTATTATTTATTCTTTTATGTGTGTATGGATCACCTGCAGAGACAGATGGACCCTCATCCCTGAGCCAAGTACTCTATAATCTGTGCATACTGTATTCATGCAAAACTATTTCCTAATTGCCAATTACAAGCCACATACTATTCAAGTCAGCCAGTAATAAATGAAACAAAGAACGCTCTTCCCATAGAACTTATAATCAAACAACTTTACAAAGAGCAAAGCATTTTCTGTACTTTGGTGTGTATAAAAGGAAAGAAATCTTATCCCTCCTCCAAGAGATGTTGTTCTATAATTTTTAAATACAGCATGTACAATACTTTCCTGCAATTTAAGAAAAAGCTCATTTTTATCAATAGGCTGCCTCTCATTTTAAAACAGGTCCCAGTTGTACTTTTTAATCTGTTTTTTAATATTTCCCATGATAGTTTTAGCCATATGTTAATTACCCTCTAGATATTTCTTCAGAGTTTTATCCTTACAAAATGGAAAAGAAAAATGAATTCATCAATGAGATGATTGTCAACACTTGAACAAAGAGGCAGATAACATGATAGACACTGGAAATTGGTTGTGGAGAACAGATACCTGGTTTTATATATTAGGTGTTTTGCATAATGTATCCATTTAATCATCATAACAGCATTAGGAGAAAAGTATATTACTCTCTGTTTTTAAATTTTAAATTTTTTATCTCTATTTTACAAGTAAGAAGGTAGACTCTGAAAAGTTAGGTATTCCAACCTTACCACTGACTGCTAGTTAGTGGCAGAGGCAGGTTTGACCTTAATTCTCTTTTACGTTAGATAGATTTCTGTTATGTTAAATTACCTTCTGTGATGATTTCCATAGCAGAGACTTGTATCTATCCATCCTTCCTCTTTCTCTTTTTTCCTTCTTTGTTTTACGCATTCAAATATGTCATGAGTTCTTTTTATCCTATCCGTTGACCATATTTTAGACAGACTTAACGCTCACCTTAATTGAATTGAATCAAGCTAATGTTAGCAGCCAATTTCCAAAAATATATTCAGTAATCATTTAGTGAATACTTTAAACCTCAATTACTTTTGTGCCAATCTAATAATACCACATGCTTCTTACTGTCCAGACTAAGATCCCCACATATTCTTCCTGACTGCTATTAAGGAGTTGCTTTAATTTGCGTAAATTTCCCTCTGTTTCTTTAGGTTGCTCTCCTGTGAGAGTTGCTAACAAACAAGAAAGTGGTCAAATATTAGGCAGTAAACATAAGAAGGAGAAAAAAGGGACCTAGAGAGGATTCACAAACACATTGTCTGGCTCATGGATTCTCTAGAGTTGTGTAGTCTTGTGTTTCTCCAGCACTTTTATTATTATTTGCATGGTTCTCCTAAGAAGGATATAGAACTAATTTTCATTCCTGCACTTGTGAGACTTAACTTGCTTTTTTATTTACCCCAATTTGTATTGTGCAGAAGATTAAAATCTTTGTAGATGACTCTGGTACAATCATTTACTCTTTGAGCATTTTGTTCGTGATTTTCAAAAGTGGTTTACTTTTACATGCTCTGGTTCATAGTCTTTACCTGAGATAATATTAATTCTTTCAAGAGCCTTTTCCATAAATTTTTGGTTTGTTTGGTTGTCTAACATAGGGACTGATTTTTTCCTAATTTAATGTGTATAACAATGACTCCTAGTACTGTCAAGGTATTTAAGAGTTTAAAAGGGGATCATATTCCAGAATGTTCTTACTTCTTGCTTATACATTTCTCACTCATTTACTTATTCATTTGACAAATATTTACTGAGTACTTACTCTGTGCTGGCTATCGCTCTAGGTGTAGAGTAAATAAAAGAAGACAAAAACCTTGCCTGCTTGTGTGAAGCTTGTAACCCAGTGTGTAGAGACAGTTTGTAAATGATGAACACATTAAAAACTAAATTAAAAAGGTGTGAGAGGATGAGAAATTGAAACAGAGTATGAAAGACTAAGAGTGCTGGTATGGAGAGTGAAAATAGTTAAAAATAAAATGAGGACCACCTCATTCGAGCAAGGATCTGATGGAGATAAGGTGATTATCTAGAGAAAGGTATTTCAGGAACAATTAGGAATGTAGCAGATCTGGAAAGGGGGAAAAGAGAGAGAGAGACAATGAGAGTCAGAATAATCTGACTTGATACTTTAAAAAAGTTACTCTGGCAGATGTATTGAGAG